CAATTAGTAGATAAGAAATAATTAGCTATCCGTGTACGCGAATTCTTCTACATTTTAAACGGCACATCGAAGTGATGGATGAACGTTGTCGTATTCAATAATTATCATTAGCAATAGATTATCTGAATTATAGTATACGGAAGTCGATGAATAGATATAGTCCCCTGGTCAGACACGAGCAAGTATCATCAGGGTGGGCATAATTTTTCCCTCACGGCTCGCTTCCCCTCTATTTCGCCCGTATTTCGATTCCCACTACTATTTCCCTCATGCGCCCTCGCTGACCATGCCAAGCATACCCCCATCAAGTACTATTCTCCACCATGGTCGCATCGTCCCCACTTTCCGGCCGAAGGAAAAATTATGCGAACCCTGAGTATCATGCGTCCTTTGATTACCTATCAACTCAATGATTAGTAGATTACAGAACTTTTTAGATTTATGAGAACATTGATTATGCAACAAATATTATATAAACATTGCACGTGGTATAATACGTCCTTCGAGTACTCACCAACCTAATGATTAGTAGATTACAGAACATTTTAGATTAATGAGCAATTTGATTATGCAGCAACTATGTATAAACATTGCAGATAGTATGATGCGTCCTTCGAGTATCTATCAACCCAATAATTAGTAGATTACAGAACTTGTTAAATTTATGAACAAATTGATTATGCAGTAAATATGAACATTGCAGATAGTATATGTCCTTCGAGTACCTATCAACGTAATAATTAGTAAATTTGAGAATTTTTACTTTTATCAGAAAATTGATTGTGCAGAAAACATGAACATTGGACGTAGTCTGTATTGTTATACATATATAACTTAATAGAACATTGCAATATTTAAATGATGCTAAAATTTTTTAATGAAGTTTCCTAATACTATAAATGTGTTATTTTATAAAAAGAAATTCACAATGTAGACATTGCAAATACGAACAGGCATCAAAGATTGTAATTTGAACTAAAAATTCGAGCAGCGCTCGACGCGAGCGATGAAAAATTTTTACTGATCTTCTCTTTTCGCGCACAATCCCTTGCGCGGGTAGTCGAAAGGTTACGCGAACGTGAAGGGCGTTCGGAATGGATTGTTGAGAAGTTTGACGATCGCGACACGATACCTCGCGCATACGAGAATGAGCGGGCTAATAAAATGAGAAGAACTGTGCGTACGCGATAACTCTTCCTCGAACGAGGCCCAATAATTCTTTAATATAATTTGCTATTTTATATTTCTCTTCCTAAATAATTGTATTTACGTGTATTACATTCAATTTAATTCCATTGCATATTAAGTATAATTTATACAAATCTAAAGTAAGTTTAAGTTTCCATAATTTGTATTCCAATAACCATGAGTCATTTTAATTCCTTTAATTGCGAATATAATTATTTGAAACTATTACGTTTAAAGGGGAAAACTTCTTCGAATGAAATGCAGTATTTCTGCAGTAATTCTGTAGTATAATTAACTATTTCATGTTTCTCTTCTTAAATAATTGGATTCACGTGTATCACGTTTCATTTAATACCATTGCGTGTTAAATACATATAATTTATACATATCTAAAGTAAATGTACATTTCTATAATTTGTATTCAAATTTCCATAATTCATTTTAATTCTTCTCGTCGCTAACGTTACTATTCGATAAAATTGTTTATAATTACGATTACGAGGGGTTGGTTATAAGAACATTCATATTCATCATATAAAATCTTTAGGTCAACGAACGTACAGTGCAAAAGCATTCCTTTATAATTCTACGTTATAATTCTTACAAAATAAGATTTCATAGATTTTCCGGTAGAATTTCTGGTTGCTGCCGTTGAAATATTTCATCTTCAAGCGTTTTCAAGCGGGTCTGATGCATGCCTGCACTACTGCGTTTGTGCGATTCATTTCGAATTATAACAGATTAAGCTGGAAATTCTTTGAAAAGGTATCAAGTTTCTCATAGAATCCTCAAAATTTCTCCTTTTCCGACGGAATTTCGAGGATTTTTCTGCTTAATCGTTGCATCGATACAGTGGCGAAAATACGTGTTTCCGAAATTGTTCGCCCATCTAGTTTTTCTATTTTTTCGTTCGGCGACGCAACGTGACAATTTTCGGAAACAGCGAGTAGACCATTAAAAAATTTCAAATTTATAATTCTACACAATAAATCTTGCAAAATACGACAGTTTCCGAAATTGTTTGTCGGTTTGGTTTTTTTATTCTTTTACTCGGCGATGGCACGTGACAGTTTTCGGAAACAGCGAATAGACCATTGAGCGGTTTTTAGAATCTTCAGACTGGTTAGGGAAGCGGCGAGAAGCCAGGGGCTAGGCAAGAGATTTATATCGTCACTGGCGCATCGCTGCGGTCTCTTTCCGTGAAATATTCATGCGGCTAGGGTGAGAAGGTTTAACACTTCACTGCCGGAAAAACTGTACCCTACGTTTCTGGCCAGAGAGAAAGAGGGCCAGACAGATGCGGAAATTTATCTGTCACAAACGTGTGCAACGCTTGACTTCCAGCTTTTTCAACGATTAATTTTAAAATAAATTCTCTTTTTACCTGCCGGGATTAAATAATTGAAACGCGAGAAAATCAGTGCTGTACAAAATGAGACGATTACGAAAGAAGATGGGAGATAATTACAATCCGTCACATTTTCGGATGTCCCGAGTGGGAAACGGTTTCAAAGTATCAATCGGAAATCCTTTCGGGAAGGGGACGAGGAAAACAGAGAAAGAACAAAAAGCGGAGAGGAACTGAAACGTATTTCGGTGTTCGAACGAAACGGCGCGGCGCGACGGTGGTCTATTTTCTATCAGGTTTCTGCATTCCGTGCAGTTTGCGTTGCGGGGATCACGTAGGGTCGTGTAAACAGCGAAAGAGCGCGGACCGGAAGGGATGAACCGGCTGGGGGGAGGGGGAGGGGGTAGGTAGCGCGCGAACCATCGGCATCGGCCGGGGACCGTGGATTCGGTCAATTGCCCTCGCCATCTCATTTGACGGCCATTGTTTCACGTGTGATAGATTTCGTCGAACCTTTCGGTAATCGCTTTTTGATTATCCCCCCACGTTCCGGCCGCCCTCTCTCTTCCTCTAATTCGGATGAAACGATCATACCTCGCTTGGTCACGGCAAACACGGCTCGGTAAACGTTCAACGTCACATTCTATTTACTGATATATTTTGCCCTCCACAAAGGATACTTTCCGAATCGAATGCCCTGCCAATGCGGTAGTCTCGCAATTATTTTGACAGCGCTCTGGTATCAATGTTATAATTAGACTGTTTTTATTGTTAAATCTAAACAATTTTAAACTATTTATTAAAAAAAAATTTCTAATGCAATTTTATTTGGCACTTGTTAAACGTCCTTCATTCATACATTCATTCATTCAACAATAACTGTCAGAATCATTAGTGAATTTGCATTTATTTTATCCTCATTTTCTATTAAGAAACACATAAATCCCAGATTGGATATTAGAAAAATAGTGTAAAAATTTATTACTTTCCGTAGAGAAAATTAACAACGAGAAAGTAGAGAGCCATTGTCCCAAGCCATGCCATCAATGATTTTTGAACGTGTCTCAAAGTATATAATAAGTACTTCATTCAAAAGACGTAAGAGAATGAAAAAAATCGGGTAAACTTTTATAAAATTATGAAATGGCCAAGCCCTGAATTTGGATTGATTAAAAGTAAGTGGTGAATTGACAAAGTCGACGAATCGTAAAAATTGTTGGATATTTACGTTTGAAAGGCAATCGCGTGGCCAGGATCAGAGCCAAGTATAATGTTACGCGGTTCCCTCGATATAAGGCTCGTCATGCGCGGTACGTAAGATCAGAGAACAGTTTTCGTTTAAAAAGGAAGAGAATTTATGAAGTAGCTGGTACGTTGGCCGCTCGTCCGGCTCGGTCGTAGCTATAAGCCGTGGTATATTGTACGTAGTAGTTACGAAGCAGCCCAGCCTCGACCACTTTTCTTCTTCCGGGATAAAGAGAGAAATAAGAGTTCTTAGCGTATCCCTTACCCATGGCCACGCTACGTTTGTTCCTTTCAATTTTTCACGTCTCCTATAGAATTTCGGGATAAAGAGAAATGCTTTCCAACTGTTTTAAACGAGTTCTCTTCGGTTACACGAAACACGGCCCTTCAATCCCGCACTGGGTCACTTTAAACAATTCTCGGGAATCCTCAAAACGCGATCTAAATACGACGCACAGAATATGTAAAATGTATATTAAGAGCTTGAAAATTTTAAAGGTATTTGAAAACACGTTTCCGCGTGTAGTAGGGAAAAAAGGTAACGACCGAGCGACGAACGTTGTGGGACGGAAATTCGTGCGTCAACGTGGATTTCATGAAAAATTCGAGAGGATATGTTTTTGTTCACAGTTGATAACAGGTGAAAAAACTGGGTCGTACTGCGTTAACGATCATTGCACCAGTACTGTCATATCTGTGTGTCCAATTGTATTTATCTCGCGTTACAAACGTCGATCAAATAATTCTCAATTATTTCCAGTCAAAAAGTAAATGCAAATCGAGTAAAAATTTCAGTTTAACAAACTGTTCAGTAAAATGAAACGAGAGGTGTAGTATAATCACAGACACTTTGATTTCAAGAATGTATTGTGTGTCTTTTAAATACGAGCATACGTATACATAATATTTATGTATATGCATACGTATAAGC